CGCGGCCGGGTCCGCGCCGGGGCCGCCGCCAGCCTCGCGCCGCAGCCGCTGCAGCTCGCGGCACATGCGCCGGAGGGTGCCGCTGTCCTCTGGCACCCCGTGGTCTGGCCACGTGTGGTAGTGGAAGTGCTGCAGCGTCGCCGCCACGCCCGTCCCGGAGTCGCTGACCCGCAGCGCCCGGCGGTCGCAGTCGCGGCCGAAGCGGTCCCGAGACAGCACCTGCACGCGCAGCGCGCCGAAGGACGCGGCCTCGCCGGCGTCACACGGGAAGTACAGCGCGCACTTCACGGTGCCCTTCTCGACGCAGTTAGTCAGCATGACTACGGCCGGCGCGCGCGCGTCGAGCGTCATCCGCCAGAAGTGCTCGGCGGTGGCCGGCAGCGGGCCCTGCGTCGCGATGTAGTGTGCCGGCGCGTCGGTGTGCGGCGGCTGCATCTGGATGCGCGACGCGTTGATGTAGGTCGACCCGAAGGTGCGCGGAAGGTGCACCCTGAGGAGCGGCGCGGGGCCGAGGGGGCGGAGGGCGCGGGAGGGGCGGAGGGGTGAGCGTGGTGCGCATGCCGCTGCGTATGGTGCGCGGCTGCGAGAGGCTTGGGTCGCATGCGCCGGCGCGAGCTCCCACGGCGCCACCAACGCTCAAATGATGGCGCCAAAGCCAGAACTTCACGCCGCCGCCCTGCGGCACACCGCATGCTGCCAGCGCAGGGCTGCTGCCTGCTGCTGCTGCTGCTGCTGCTGCTGCTGCTGCTGCTGCTGCTGCTGCTGCTGCTGCTGCTGCTGTTGCTGCTGCTCAAAAGGCCCAAGCTGCCCTCGGACAGATGTTTTTCAGACAGACGCTTTCAGACACTTTCAAGGCACCGACACGCCTCCGTGGCGCAGCAGCATCAGCTCGCTTCAATTGTCCCCCATGCGCCCGTTTGCCCACGCTGACACGCCCACATGACATGTGCACCAGCATCTAAGCGAATTCGACTGTCTCGCAAGCGCGCGCGCACACACACACACACACACACACACACACACACGCACGCACGCACACACACACACACATGTGCGCACACAGCATCGACCCGGCGCCCCCACCTGTTGTAGTCGTACGGGAGCACGTTCGCGTAGCGGTTGCGCGACGAGGAGTCGGATCGCAGCGCGTCCGCCTGCGTGTGGCGGATCGTGTCGTCCAGCGCCACCACGTACTGATACTCCCGGAACAGCTGCTGCCCGTCCTGCAGCCGCTGCCGCACGGCGCGCGCGGCGCGGCGGCACCACGTTGCGCCCGGGCACGGCGCGGTGCCGCGCGGTGGCGGCGGCTGCTGCTCCTGCTGCTGCTGTTCCTGCTGCTGCTCGTGCTGCTGTTGCGAGTCCTGCAGATGGCCGCCGCTGCTGCCGCCCGGGACGGCGGCGTTTGCAATCACGCCATTTTGCACCATGGACGCGCCACTCTTCATGCCGAGCAGCTCAGTGCGGTGCAGCTGGCCTCCGGCGCTGGCCAGGGCCGCGCACATGTGCGCGGCGCGGCGACACCTGCTACCTCGGCACCACCGCTGCGGCACCACGGGCCGCTGCACCGCGAGCGTGATGCCGAGTTGCGCGTCCCAATAGCAGCTGGTGGCTGTTATTGTTGACGTGGTGAACGGAGTAGCTGGGTGTCGGACTCAGACCGGGACTGACAGTGTGATGGGCTCCGTTGCTGCCTTGGCGCGCCTCGGGCACTTCTAAGTGATTGCAAAGGACGTATTTCTCGATCTCCTTGGCGTAACGTGGGCCCCGCTAGTCGTCACGTTCGCTCGCGCTGCTTCAAGCGCGCCAGCTCGTTGCTGCTCTGCTTCGCTGCACAATAACAAACCAAACAACGGCAAGGCTTCGAACGTCAACCACGCCCATCAGGTACGTGCCATCTTGGTGGTGCTGGCCATGGCAACGGCCATGTTCTCGCCGCCAAGGGCCCTTGAGTCAGGGGCTTTGCGACCCCCTTGGCGTGCCTGGAGGCGGGGCGAGGTTGCTAAGCTTTTGACAACAGCCGAGCCTACCTAAGTTTTACACATCTCAGCGAGGGTCCAGCGCCACTTACGCCATGGAAGAGGCTTGCGGGAACCTGGGTGTCGGCAGTGTGCGAAGCATTTGACCGAGGGCGGCCAGCACCATCTCTGGGTAGGCTGCAGGGGCGGGAGTCACCCCTGAAAATCCTACGCTTACTTTTCAAGTTGATCGAGCCTGCAGGCGCCCCCGGCCTCCGCACCTTCCTGCGCCTGCACATGAGTCAACCCATGGTGAACTGTGGCCGGATGAGGGACAAGGGGTGCAGGCAGGATCGAGCCCCGGACATCGTGGCTTGAACAACCTATGACTGATAAAGACGAGACTGCAATGCTAAATTGTTGGTGATATTAGGAGTAGCAGGCAAAGGCACACGAAGAAGGAAAGCCAGTTGGGACTTTGAAGTTTGCACACAAGCATTTTGGGCATGAAGATGCTCTCCATTTGATTTGCAGAGTTGTATTATGAACAGATTTCACGCTTCTTAATGGTTTCAAGGGGAAAGCAAACCGACGGAAGTCAGGGCGCTTGGGGTGAATCAGCGCTGCGCCGCTTCGAATCAACTCGACAAAAGCCCTGCAACACCAGAGTTCGCGAGCCCGATCACTCGTCCTCCGCCGCTTGTCCAGTGCAAGGTACTTTGGTATCACGGCGAAGATTTTTGGTACCCCATGCAGCAAGGGGCGGGGGAGGCCAACTGGTGGGCAGCGGGCAGACGGGGTAGCCCACGTGGTGTGGGGGTGTCGCCTGAAGCACAGCCCCAACACACGCCAGATAGACGAGCAATCTTCAACCATGTGGCAGCCATGCAACGTCTGGTGCCAAAACACAACTCTGCGATCGACGAGCACGTGACACCTCTAGGTTTGGGCGAGCTCGTGCAGGCCGTCCGACCGGTGACCTGGATGCGCCTGGATTGTTGATTTTCAGCAGTGTGCTGTCCTAAAGGAGCATCTGACCTTGGCTGTGGCGTCGCCCGACCCCTAGCTGCAGCAGCTACCGGCACTGCGGGATGTGCGGTTTGGTGGGTCGCGGGGCGACGAGGCTGCTGGCGAGTGGCCGATCACGCAGACATCGCAAGGGGCTCATCTAGAAAAATATCAGGCTTTGGCATGCTTGAGGGGCTGATGCTCTACGTGCGCTGTTTTCACGTGTATTTGAATCCTGGTTGAAAGGGCGGCGCTAGGATGGAACATGGAACATCGACGTGCGGGCACTGCACAGAGGTTTCCGGTTCTAGGCAGCTTTGCGACTTCGAATCCTTACTGTTCGAAGATACCCCTGTCATACATGTGGTGAAGAAATACGCAGCCCCGCGTATCTGGCCAAGTAACTCGACCTGACCTGGCAGGATGGGCCTGTGCAGCATGCTGGCGGTGTGCATGACTGTGCTCTGTATGCAGGTGAACATGATTGGCCGGTGCCCATGATACCTCACTGTGCCTCGCGGGGTGCGAACAACTGTGGAAGAGCGGGCACAGCACACCAAGTACACCGCACCTGAGTCATGCGTGCTTAAACATGTGACTGTGTATTGTACAGCAGGCAGTGTTGGCAGCGGAACCCGTCAAGCCCGCCACAGCGCCTGCTGCGAAGTCAGCGGTGACAAAGGCAACGCCAACACAACTTGGCAGCAGCAGCAAGACGATATCATCAGCGCTAAAAGCGGCTGGCTACACAGACTGCCTCAAGATCATTGAGGCAGCCGGGGCCGGCGCGCGTGCGGCGGACCCCAAGACAAAAGCGACCGTCTTCTGCCCGACCAACCAGGTAAATTGGCTCCCCGTGCCCGCGACGCCAGCACAGCGCCCCGGGCCCCCATACCCAGCCCCGTTGCCGACGCCGCCAACGCCCAGGCCACTCACCGACGGCGCTCACGGCTCGCCTGCGCCGCCCCGGCATCCCGCTCCGCCCCCGACGCACACACCCCAGGCGGTCAGGGCCTTCCTGGCCGAGATGGGCCTGACGCTGCCAGAGCTGCTGGCGCGCCCTGATCTGCTGGACAAGCTTGCCGCATACCACGTGGCGCCCCGCGTTCGTGCAAACTCGTCCGCCCTCGTGCGCGCCGCCGGGGGGCCGGGCGCATATGCGGTCTCGGGCGATCCTCATTACCTCCTGCGCTTCGCGGCGAGCGGCGGCGCGCGCGGCGGCGGCGGGGCAGTGCTCGTGAGGGACTCGCAGGGCGGCGCGGCGCGTGTCGTGGGGCCGGACCTGGACGCGGGGGCTAGTGTCGTCCATGGCATCGACAGGGTGCTGCTCAGCGGTGCGCGCCCGTGTGCGCGCAAGCGGCGGGCGCATCTGGGGTGCAGGCGCGTGCGCTAGGGTTGAGGACAAGGAGAGAATGCGTGCGCTTGCCTCCGAGTGAAGTGGCAAGCCGCTCGATATACATGCGGGTGCCGCGCAAGCCTTTTATTTCTTCCACCTGACCGCCTGGCGTGCCCGCCCATCCTGGCTGCCTCCTCAACTCCCTCTGAGCAGGGGAGTACTTCCCAACGCTCAAGTCATTCTTCGCTTACTACGGTGTGAACTTCACGGCGCTCGCCCGCGCCCTGAACGCCAGCGGCGCTGGGAAGGACCTATCGGCACGCAACTGGACGGGCACGCTATTTGCGCCCACCGACGGCGCGTTCGCAGCAGCTTCCAAGCAGCTGCTGTCTGGGGGTGCAGCTGCCCAGAAGCTGCGCGCTGTGGTGCAGTACCACCAGGTGGGTTGTCTCGCCCCCTCGCCTGACATCCTTTGTGCCCCACAGCAGCAGGTGCAACATCTGCTGCACTTTCCCGCTCTGCTTTGCGCTCCAGCACAGTGATGGTGATCGTGCCTTGCAGGCTGCAAGTGGACATTGCCGGGTTGGCTCGAGTTGGATGCGCACCATCTCTGCCCAGAGCCAACCAAGCGCGTGTGCGGCCCCTGCTCTCCCTCACGCCCTCACCCCACCGCCGGCGCCGCCCCGCCCCGCGCACCGTGCATGTGCAGCTGCCGGCCATCACGCTCTACCCCAGCGGCTTTGTCAGCGGCAGGGCCGTGCCGACGCGGCTGGCGGGCCACAAGCTGGCCGTCAAGTACACGAGGTGTGGGGGTGGGGCTCTTGACCCGCAAGGCAGGCAGCCAGCGTACTGCGGCGACAAGCGCACAACCCAAGAGGATGCCGCACTCGATGTGTGCGACACAGGGCTGGCGTAGTACGCGACACCGCGCCCGGCTCCGACCCATCTGCGTAGACACGCCCCCCCCCCCTCCCACGCCGCGGCCTATGTGCGTGAATGTCCACCCGCGCCGCCCACAGGACCAACCAGACCGTCGGAAGGTCAACAGTCACGATCCTGGAGGGCACTGTGATCCCGGAGGCCGGCTCCCCCAGCAAGCCCGCGCGCATCGGCCTCCCAAACGTTTACGTGGCCCGCGGCGTTGTGCATGGGATTGACGGGGCCCTCCTACCCGCGCCGGAGGCCAAGCCCGCGGGGCCGCCGTCCACGCCCCCAGCAGCCGCCCGCGCCGCCGGCCGCCGGCTGCTGCGCGGCGGCGACGGCGGGCGCGGCGGGGGCGGCGGCTACAGCGGCGCGGGGGGCTACCGCCCAACCGGCGGCAGCTATGGCGACGGCGGCGGGGGGCGGACGTTTGACAACCGGCCGGTTGACCGCTCCGTGACAGTCAACAACAACGAACCCGCGCCTGTGGTTGCTGCTCCCGTTCGCGGCGTCGGATACACCGATGCAGCGCTGGCGGGCGCCGCGGTGGGCGCGGCGGACGCGGATGCGTACAACGCGGCGGCTGACAGCAGCGAGCAGAGTGACTACCAGCCGCCCAGCTACGCCGCGGCCGACGCGACCGCGCCGCTGGCGGTGGCGCCGCCGGTGCAGGGCACGGTCGCGGGCAGTGACACCGGTGGTGGCGGCGGCGGCGGCGGCGGCGGCGGCGGCGGGCAGGGCGAAGGCACTGTCTGCAACAACTGCTGCATCAACTGCCAAGTCAGCGGTGGGGCCGGCGGCGGCGGCTACACCCAGCAGCAGGCCGCGCCGCCCTTGCCGCCCGCGGCTCCGCCGGCGGCACCGCAGGATCCCTACGAGGATGAGAACGGCTCCCTGTAGTGTGGGCCCAGCTGATGCTGCATTTTAATGTCGCCCCTGTGGTGACGCACATGTGATGTCAACAACTGGCTGCTACCATTTTGCACAACCACCTTGCCTGCGGCTTGGATGTCCTCGTTGCGTTGCCTGGAGGCGGCGCGCCGCCACCGGGCGTCGGAAGCAGTGGCGCACGTCTGCAGCATCCCCTGAACTTGCCCCATGATCAGGCACCGCACGAATTTGCAAGCGCTTGCATTTGCTACCACCTGTGCACATGACGAGTAAATGACTGCGTAAATGGGGGGATTATTTGTGTCATTTTGGGTGCGCTTGTGCCCAAATGGTGGTCTGTCTTGAAGGCAATCCCTAGCTTCTGGTCTGCTTCGTTTGACTGTGGTCTATGTACAATCAACATCTGATGCCACTACCTTTGCTGAAGCTTGCACTTCTCACCCCAGAAATTTGACTCAACATGAAACACACACACAATCAACGCGGCTTAGGTGCGTGTCACCATCTGTGGCGGGCTTGCCTGATGATGCAAGCAGCTGAGCAGGTCGCGCGTCCTCCCGCAGCCCCAGGCAACGTGCGCTTTTGCAGCGGCCACGGTACGGTGGGGGTGCCGTGATGCTTCCCATGCAGTACCACTCACAAAATATTCTTCATCATTTCATACCCATTTCATACCCACCTGCTGTATCGATCTGTGCTTATCAGCCAGACCGGTGAGGGCCGCAGATCACACGTTGACTTTACGGTAGCCGGCAAGTCGGACCGACATCCCAGGAGTACATTACACTTTAAATCCTATTGAGATCTCTAAAGGGCTGCTGTGTCCCAGGCCACTGCCCCTCGTACCCAGCGAGGCGTTGACGCACCTGCGGGGTCTTACGCTCGTGCACGCTCGGTAAATTACTTTTATACAGGCAATTCTGAAGGTAGGGGACATGAACCACCATCAGGTAACCCTTTGTTGAGTCAAGGACGACACGGGGTGTTTGAAGTCCAGTTTGCATCAGCTCACGATACGTTCGCTTCACCCTCGAATTGTGCAGTTGTTGCGGCGTGAAAAAATCATCTCATTCTCAGTGCTTGTCGCGACGCTCGGACTCTGCACTCACTCAGTCACCCGCTCGGCCCAGCAGGCAGACCGAGTCCGAGTTTGAGCACCATGAGCGGTGAAAGGCACCAATCACTGCTTCTGGCGTCGTGCCTACTGCTCGTGGCAGTGCTAGTTGCTCCCGCCCAAGGTGAGTCCAGTGGCCGCGCCCAGACCACCGGGTGTGGTCTGCCCCTGACCGGTGACGTCGTGGCCGTGTTGCCAAAGCATGCCTGCAGGGACCTACTCTGGTCTGAATTTGAGCCCCATGGACAAACCAATGCCATCCCAGGCAGCTGGATAGTGAGCGACGATGCGGCCGGCGCCATCCAGTCGCCGGCCACAGCCGCCGTCACCGTCAGCGGAGGCCCCGCCAGCATGGCCCCTCGCGCAGCACCCCCAGCCGCCGACGCAGAGGCGGCCGCCCTGGAATCTATGTCGAATGGGAAGCCCATGCGCTGGCTGGTGACGTACCGCGTCGCGGCGGATGGAGGCAGCTCAGCCGACGACCAGACGCCCCAGCCCGAGCCGTCCGCCGCCGCCGCGGCCCCCGCATCCGACGCCGCCTCGGTCGCGCCCGCCGCCGCCGCCGCGCGCCTCCGCGCGCAGGACGGCGCAAAGTATCGCGTCCTCGCGCCCGACGGGCCCGCCGCGGCGGCGGGCGCGCGGCTGGTGCAGCACTACTCGCACCTGCCAGTCTCCGCGGTAGAGCTACCCGACGCCGCCGCCCTAGCGGCCCTCCGCGCGCACCCCGACGTCGCGCGCGTCGAGCCCGACCGCCCCAACGTCCTCGCGCTGCAGCAGAGCCTGCCGCTCATCAACCAGCCCGCGGCCGCCGCGGCCGGCGACGCGGGGGCCGGGTGCTTCGTCGCGGTGGTCGACGGCGTTGTCGATGTGACGCACCCCGACCTTGGATCCTGCGCGACGCCCGGCGCGCCGCCGCCGTGCCGGGTGGCGTTGGCCAAAGACTTCAGCTCAAATGGCTCCTCTGGGCCGGCGGCGGACACATCTCATGGGACAAACGTCGCTTCGATTGTGGCGCGGACCGCCCCGGGCTCCCTGATCCTGGCTCTGGTGAGGGCGCCGGCTGGGTGCGGCTGATGCGTCCAGTGCTCTGCAGCGGTGGGGAAGGGGGTGGTTCAAACCTGTGGTGGGGGTGTTGCAGACGCCGCAGGAGAGGATTCTTGAATTTAGGGTGTGGTGCACTGCGTCTAAAGTGGGGTGGTGCTGTTGAGTCACTCAAAGCAGCGCAGGCAGTGGACACCCGCATCGGCGAGCGGTGAACCCCGCGGCCCTGCGGGCCCATCATCATCACAGCACCCAAACGGCTGACGGCCCACCCCCCCTTCTCAAACATGCAAGAATTCATTGCAGAATTTACCACCCGACCACCCACACATACCCCATAAGAGCGATCGGCTGCGGCCACCTGCATCCACCCTTCCACCATTGCCTGCTGCGCCACCCAACTCCCAACAGAACGTCCTGGAGGCCAACACGCAGGGCTCGACCATCGCCTGGGACTCCAGCCTCCTGGCCGCCGTCAACTGGGCGGTGCAGGCCAAGTCCACCGGCGCCTACAACGTCTGCGCCATCAACCTGTCCATAACCTCGAACTCCGGCGGCTTCTACCCAGCCGCCTGCGGCGATAGCGCGTTCGAGGCGTCATTCGCGGCGGCGCGGGCGGCGGGCGTCCTGCCTGTGGTGGCGAGCGGCAACAACGCCAGAAAGGTGCGAGGGCGGCCGCGCGGCGCCGCAACCGGGGCTCGGCCGCCCCCCGCCCTGAGCGCGCGGCTGGCTGTGGAGCCTGCTTAGGGCTGCGCCTGGCCGAAAGCAGGCCTGGCTGCCAGCTTACACCTTTAGGGCAGTGGAAGCTGCGGCGCTTTATGTACTCCATTCCCGTCGTTCCCACCCCTTTGTCGTCGCGGCGTCCTGGCCCCCCTGGTTCCCCATGTGAAAACGGAGCGTGCCCCCACCCCCTTGCGCCGCCTCAGGACGGCCTGCCCTCCCCGGCCTGCGCGCCGAGCGCCGTGAGCGTGGGCGCGTCCTTCGACGCCGCCGCCAGCTCCCGCAGCTGGGGCCCCTGCACCGACGCGGCCCCAGTCCCCGACGGCGTCGCCTGCTTCTCCAATGGCGCCCCCTACCTGACCATGCTCGCCCCCGGCGCCTTCATCACCGCCGGCGGCTGGAGCATGGCCGGCACGAGCCAGGCCGCGCCGCACGTCGCGGGCGCCGCGGCCGTGCTCAAGGCCGCCGTGCCCGCCGCGACCGCAGCCCAGATCGTCGCCGCGCTGCAGGGCAGCGGCGTCAAGCTGAGCGACCCCCTCAACAGTGTCACCACGCCGCGCGTCAACCTGGCCGCCGCCGTCACGGCGCTGCAGGGGGGAACTTTTAACCCCGGCGCCGGCGACGCGACGCCGCCGACGGGGGCGGTGCAGATCCAGGGCGGGGCGGCGACCACCCCGGCGTTGGACGTCACCCTCACCATCTCCGGCCAGGACCCCGGCGGCTCTGGCGTTACGTCCATGTGCGTCATGAACGAGCCCCCGCCCGCCGCCCCCGCCTCGGCCTGCGCGCCGTACGTGGCGTTTGCGCAGTCCAAGGTTTGGCGACTGGCGGACGGCGGGGACGGGCCGCGCACGGTCGGCGTGTTCCTGCGGGATGCAGCGGGCAACACCATGGCGGCGCCAGCGACGGCGACGATCCAAAAGGTGACTCAGACAACCACCCTCGTCATCAACGGCGGCGCGCAGTACACCGTGACGCGCGCCGTTACCCTCACCATCAGCGCCCCAGGGGCGACGCCCAAGACGCGCATGTGCGTAACCTCGTCCGCCGCCGTCACCACGGCGGGTGGCTGCACCAGTTGGTCTGCGTACGCGCAGACCAAGCGCGTCACGCTCTCGGCGTCGCCCCAGGGGCCGCGGACTGTCACCGTTTTCTTCTGGGACCCGGCCAACGGCGGCACCACGCGCGCGCCGAGCCCCCGGGACCCGCCGCCCGCGTCGGCCACGATCGTGCTCGACACGGCGGCGCCTGTGATGCAGGCGGCGTCCATGGCGGTGACGGCGACGCCGTCGGGCGGCGGCGGAATGGCGGTCGGGTTCCAGCAGGCCGCGACAGACGCAGCTTCTGGGGTGGCCTCTTACGTAATCGTTGGCCGCCAGGCGGCCACTGCGCCCTCCAGGTGCACAGGCTCTTACCTAACCCTGGCACGGCTGGCCGGCCTCTCGGGCCAGACGGCCGCCGCGCCGCCGTCCTCGCCGGCCGGCAGCCCCGCGGGCGCGGCGCCGCAGAGCGTGGCGTTCGCGGGCCTGAAGCCGGCGTCCGCTTACGCGTTCCGCGTGTGCGCGGTTGACGCGGCCGGCAACACCGCGGTAGGCACCACGGTCCAAACGAAAACGAGCGCTTGATGCATCATCGCTCATCAGCACTGCTGCCTGTTCGCAGTCGCCGCAGCCTGCGGCTGTCTTCAGCTTTCTATCTTACCAACATGCTTCCTCCATTCTGATTGCGCCAGACAAAGGCAGCATCCTTTTTTAAAACGGGCCCTTGCTTGGTGTTTCCTTATCTGGGTTGCCTGTGCAATCAAAGCTGGGTCTGGCCCTGCTTGTCTTTGCATGAAGCCTAGGACATTGCCTGCTTTCAAAGCAGGTCCCCATCACCCTTTGCAGGCTGCACACACACACTGCTTTGGCTGCTGATTTCGCTCAGGCCCCTTTTATCATTGGCAGCAACCATTTATCTGGCTTTCTGGCGGACCCATTCGCAGATCCATTTGGCGCGTCATTATGGCGCGCGCACGCGCCAAGCCCTGCAGTCAGGCTTGCCTTCCCTGATTTGACCCACATGGGTGCCTGAGTCCTTCCTCAATTGTTTGCTTGACGCATTCCTGCGGGGTCTCCTCACCAAACCTTACCCGCACGCCCGCGCCGGCGGCGGCGGCAATCGGCTTCCTTTCGACGGCAATACACATAGCTGCGGCCAGCTGGCAATTTCACGCTTGCTTGGTGTGGGCATGCGGCGCACCTCACTATCCACTTCCCTTACCCCATGCCCCACGTCACATACAATACCTAGCTCACCGCGCATCATATATCCACACAAAAAAGCACTGATTTATGCGTACACAAACTGGCAGCAGTCCTTGAGACGGGCTGATAGCTGATTGTGCGCCTATTAAGCAGCAACATTGCGCGACATGCCCGCCGCTTGCCCCCAGACCTGGATTTTTCCTGCCTTTCATTATGGCAGTGACATCACTTGCCTGCGCAGGCGGCGTACATCAGATTATACTCATATCATCACCTTCTTGGTGCATACATCTCACCAACACACGCTAGCGCACTGACTCGCGCGCTCGCGCGCCCACACACACCTGCACCAATTCGCCACACTTGCCTTTGCCCCGTCGCTCAGACAAGTGATTGGCAGCTCCCCCCTAAGCCGGGCTGGCCATTGAAGAACGACACTTTCGTAGAAATGATGCACCTCACCAGTGCTGGTTTGCCGCGCGCAGATCCCAGCGCCGTGCACTCCTGGCCTGCTGGCAGTTTTTTGTTGGGCACGCCGCAGACATCCGACACTGCTGATGTCCACGACCTTGATAGGGCGTGGAGTCTCGTACTGTGCGTTCACGAGGTTTACTCATTTGCATGGTGTAAAATGCGCTTGACAAAAGTGATTCAAAGTCCTGAAATCTCTTGCACAGCCAGATATTTGCAGATGCTGATAAGTTAGTGCAGCAACACGTTTTGACAGGGATTGTGCATAATTTGTGATGAGGCAGGGCTCGCGACCACATGAGGCTGATGCCCTGTCCTGACGCCTCCACTCCATAACTCCTTGATGATGTGTGATTCAAGTGGTGAGGTTGTGAGTGAGTCGTAGACAATTGCAGGGATGCTTATGACGGTTCTGCTGAGCCCAGAGCGGACCCCCCAGCCGCCCCCGTCGTCACGCGTCGCACCCCTGCCGTTGAACCCGCCGCCTTTTTGGGCTTCTTGGCCACCCCGTGCTGCTGCTGGTGCTGGTGCTGCTGCTGCTCCCCACCGCCCCGCAGCGCGGACCGTATGCCGTCCTCTATGGTCGGGCCCAGGCGCCCGTGAAGCTCCACGCATGCCGCGCCGCACAGCACAAAGCAGGCGGTGGTGGGGGTGCTCTGGCCGAGCGCCTGACAAGAAGGCAACGTTTTGCGGGCAGAAGGCGAGAGTGCGCAGGGGTGAGCAAAATGCGGCATCAACTTGTGGGGTTTACACCCGCTCTGCCCCCTCCCAGATGTGCCTCATGCCACACCCAGAAAAGGGCATTAGCTGCCCAAGATCCGCCGGGCCCCCGCTGCAGTCTGTCACACAAAGGTCTGCCATTAACTCTGCCAGCATGGCCCACCCCCCTGCACCTGTCTCAAGTCCCCTCTGCCCTAGATCCCTGGTGTATCACCACACGCACGCGAGCTGACACACACACCACACACACGCGTGCGCACACACACACACACACATGCGCAAAAACACATACATATACGTACACACGCACGCGTGCGCACACACACACACACACACGCACAGACACACACGCACAGACACACCCGCATGCACACACACACACACACATACACACAAACACACACACACACACACACACACACACACACACACACACAAGCCCCCACCTGAAACAGCGGCCAGTCCCCCAGGATCTGATGGTCAGGCTGCAGGTGCTCCTCGCACCACGCCGCCTCGCACACGCCACACCTGCAGCCAGCCAGCAGCACGCGGTCGAAGGCGCGATCATCGCAATCGCATGAGCGTGTGGGCTGCAGCAAAATGCCGGCAGAGCGCGGCCATGCATGGCGGCCCGCTTTTTTCCAAGCGCTGCGGCGGCCCCTTGAGTCGCGACGGCACCAACGCGTTCCCTGTCAAGGCTGAGCCCGTGCGGCGGACGCGTCCCGCGATGCGTGCGCGCCTGAAGAGCAGCCCGCCCGCAGCCTGGGCCGGGCGCCCGCAGGCGTTGCAGCTGTGGTGGGGGCACGACCAGCGCTTCGCCGCCGCGAGGGCGGCCGGCTCGGCGCCGAGGCACTCTGGGTGGTACGCGGCCGGGCAGGCGTCGCAGCAGACCAGGTCGCCGCCGTCCCAGCAGACCTGCAGGTGGCGGCAGTACGATAATAGTGCATCGGATTGCATGCAGCTGCGGAACTTGACCGAGGGCAGCAAGACGGGTCGGAATCGAGAGGCTGGGTGCAGCAGGTTGAGGCGAGGTGCAGGCCCGCGCCTGCGGCTCGCGGCAGCTAAGGGGTCGGCTGGCGTGCCTGCCGCCGCGCCTGCGCACCTGGCAGGTATCTGAGTGGCCGTAGTCGCGGCCGGCGATCTGATGCTTGCGCTTGGGCGGCGCGCTTGCGGGGCGCCCCGTGGCTGCGGGGGCGCGTCGAGCGGGTAAGCGCACACGCTGGGGTGGAAGGGCCTTCTGCTCGCGGCGCCACCGAAGCGGCATCGGCCCTCCGCCGCTGGGGTGTCAGCGATGAGAGAACGGCTCCCCTCAGCCCAGCCCGGCCATGCAGGCATGACCCTCCCCGACCGTCGCCTCCGATCCCAGGCAGCCGCATGGCTATTGACGCCCTCTCATGTGGTATCCCATCCCCCAGCCCCCCGGACGGCGCTCAGCCCCGCCGGGCCCCGCGCCCCGCGCCCCGCAACCGCGCACCCGTCTCCTCCCAGGCGCTGATCCCGCCCTGCTGCATGCCGTAGTTGTTTGACCGCAGCACCGGCACGCCATCCACCTCCACCAGGCGCGACTGGCGCGCGCGCTCGGGCCTGGCGGCCGGCGCGGGGCCGGGGTGGCAAGGGGCAGGTGTCGGGGGCAGGGAACCAGGGGGATTTTGGGATGCGGGCGCGCCTGGGTGCGGGAGAGCGTCAGCAATGGCCCGAGTGTAACAAGCTGCAGCTGCCTGTAGGTGCGGCGCCAAGCCACAGCAGCAGCCTCGCCTGGTTCGCGCTGCGGGGCCCGTGGCCAGCGGCCTGCCGCCGGGCGCGGCACACACGGCGTGGTCCCGGCTCGCATCGTGAATCCCCGCGAGCAGCCGCGCTGCTGCGCCGCTCGGAGCCGCGCGCGCCCCCGGCCCACTTGACCCGGCCCGGCCCCTCGCCCCCACCC